AACGAGACGCTGCGTCGCAAGGCCATATTTCCGGCATCCCTACTAGAGCTTGATTCACTCCTAAGAAGCTAGCGCCGGCGGCACCTCACGTGCTTTTAAAGCTTCCTGGTCATGACGTCACCCGCCGCGGACATCTCGCCCATCGTTCGACTGATTACACATATGATTCAGAGCTTGGTATCGCTGAAGGCGTTCCCCTAGCGTTTTCCGACGCAGCGTCTCATTCCCTCGGGGAACCATGGTTACATACGTAACCTGGGACGTTTTCCAGTCCAAATGTCTAAACAATTCGTAAACCAAGTATCTTGTCAATGGGCTTAGAAAAATAAAAAAGATAATTTTTCTAACCGCGATAGCATTTTTTTCTTGTTTTAAGCATCACTTCATTGATGGTTTTGCTTCTCTAGTAAATATATATTGATTTATGGATGTTTGGATATTTATACTGGAAACCAAGACAAAGAATATTATCTGCATACAGCATATGCAACCCGGTATCACGCCAAAGCGTGTAGCAGACACGCTGGTCCACTTGAGTATGCGTGTCACACTTTGCCTCCTCTAGGCGTGAAAATTACACGCATGTATGAAGGTGAAGTTACCAATAGAGTACCAGGAGGGGCGATAATTTTCTCAATGCCAACAACTCCCTACGGACCAAATAGAAGCGATTTAGTGCATTCTCCAAAAATCCCCGTAAGCATATTATTTTTGTGTTGATATTAGGTCTTTATTGTAACTTTAGCAATATAACATCACCATATTAGGCTACAGACAGGTCAGTGCCTGGACGCAACCTCAGAACCAGCCGGTCACGGCCTGTTTGGGTCATATTTCAAGCCATATTTTTTCTTCGAGTGCGGTCATTTAAGAAATCGTGAGATAGCTAGCGTCTAGCTAACGTCATATTTGCATGTGTGACTGTGAAGCTTTTTGCAAATATAACAATAATAATAATAAAAAAGAAGAATAGTAATAATAGTATTATTGTGTTCTGTTTAAATAAAATAGTAGCCTATTTTGCACTGCCGGTTTTACCACTGTTTAAAAAGCGCGTCAGGGAATGAATTGTCACAGGGATTTTTTATGTTTTTTCTGTTCTGTTATGCAGTCCTGGTTAAAATAGTCTTGCAGTAATTAGATAATTATTCTATAGGCTAAACAATATATGTCACTCATTTCTATGAATTCTGATCAACTACCTTACTGTACCCTGTATGTCCTTGTATTTTTAGCTAGAAAAAGTACAGGCCCTGTGAATAAGGGCTGTTGTATTGCTGTCAAAGCCCGGAAGAAGGCCAAATGAATGGGTGTCTGAGGGTTGTAAGCTGACAGAGACATCACATAAATGCCTAGAAAGAATAAAGGACCTGTATGACATTGTTATTCAAGGTAAGAATATTATGTTGTATATATATTTTTTGTTTTAAAAAGTCATGTATTTGAAGGTAAGGCTGTGTTTCCTCCAACTAATGGAGAATTCAGATTATCGTTGATGCTTTTGGCTTACAACTGAAACTAATTGGAAGAGGTTAAAAGCTGCCTAGCTAGCTATTTAGCTACTTACTCTTAAGTATCAATAAAATAACATTGAAATAATTGCATTTGCTTGTTTTTTTTATTTATTTTAATCTTAAATAGAATAGAATGCACACACCAGACGATCCAGTCCAGATGCAGGGCCACACCCTTGGCTTTATACTGAAACAAGCTTGAACTTTTTTACAAATGCATGCAGATATGCTGCCTTATTTCATCCACACATTTGAAATGAAGTGAAGGCAACACCCTAAAACAGCACTTGGCCCCAAACCTAGTGCTCCATGCACGTTATAGATGATGCAGATCAGGGCTGTACACTTAATTTTTTAGGTGATAACACTGGTCCTAGCAAGTTAAAGGGACAGTCACACTGCACTTTTTGTTTGATTGACTTCCATTCATATGTATGTGAATATGTCAGACTGCAAATGCAAGCTCCAACATGTTCAAGCTTGGTGAACTCTGACCTGCGAAACTCCTATCACATGAAAACGTGGATCAACAGCAGATCAATACATGGTCACAGTATAACCTCGTAGCTGAATTAAAAATACATACATTTAAAACTGCAGTGCTGCAGGAAAGTGGAGTAGATTTGATGTTTTTACATTTTAGATGTATTGTTATTTATGTGTTAAATTTAAGTTTTTTTTTAAAGATGCTGCAGAGCGACATATTGTGGCCATTGTATGTTCAAAATAGTGTGATCACGGCTTTACTTTTTTTCACTAGCCTGTATTTTATCATTTGTTTGTTTATAACATAAACTATGACATTGAATTGAGAGACAAGGTAATTACCCATGCCATAATTTTCATTGTACAAATCCAGTAGACAACGTGACATAACTGGCCAACCACCCGACAAGCAGACTGTCTTAAACATCCATCACATGCCTTAGGACCATCCCCCTGATAAATCAGTACTGCTTGGTAGAAGTAGTTTGGTAAAACAATCAGTACTTGTTAGGTAGGCTGATCAGTGTTTTCTAAATAATTATGTACTTCTACAATGTAGGCTGGACTGCACAAGGTGCTGCCAAACAATTCAGTGAACCCTCATCAGCCCAGGTTGAAACCCCCACTTGTCCACCAGATCCACAGGTAGCAGTGGCCAAACGTCATCCCTCAGCAGCTATCCACATGTAGCAGTGGCCAAACGTCATCCCTCAGCAGCTACTACTGGACCACCAGCAGCCCTTATTGGTAAAGGTAAACAGAAAAGGAGCTATATGAATATTATTGAAAATAAGTTGTAAACCGCACAAAACCATACTATTACTTTGTGTAATGTGATACTGTAAACAAATTCAGAGTCTGGACATCCCTGCATTCATCAAATATATATATATATATATATATATATATATATTACATATTTTAATTTTTTCTCTGCTATTAACAGATGAAAGTGTGGAAAAAGGAGGCTGTCCAGTTCCCACTACAGTGCGGCTACATAAAAGGAAAGGTGTGTTGATATACTGTGTGTAAATCTGTCACGGTTCATGGGTCCGGGCGGTCCTTTTGCGTCTTGTCATGGGGTTGTATGTGTGTACGTCATTCGTTAGTGGTTGCAGCTGGCGCTCAATCAAAGCGCGCCAGCTGCAACTCATTAGCGATTCCTTTATAGGACACCTGTTTCAATGTGTGTTTGTCGGTTCGTTATTCACATGTCCTGTCTCCCTGTCAGTTCTCTGTTTCTAGATCTCGCTCAGTCAGGGTACGGATCTTCAGCCTTCTCCTTGGTTTGGTCAGCACAGTGGTTGGAGGGTTTTCTCAGTGGAGCTCTGATCCTGACCAGGACACCGAGGATTGTCACCTTGTGTCTCCGTTATTGTGATTACCAAATAAACCTTACCTTTGCACTCGCACTTGGATCCTGACTCTTCTCTGCCGTGACAGAACGAACCGACCATACTCATGGATCCAGCGAGTGCGGCAGAGCTCAGAGACTTTTTGGCCAAGACTAACATTCGCATGGAGCATCATGAGGATCAGATGATGGCCACGGGGCGGGCCGTCCAGACCCTGGTGAGTCAGCTGTCTGAGCTCACCACCCAGATCCAGCATCTGAAAGCAGAGAGGGTTT